GGTCAAACGATTATTGATTTTTTGATCTAGGGCATTCGAATCGTTTAGGTAAAAACTTGTTCTTTTGTTATCGTTTATAAGAATTTAGAACGATGACGAATAAGATTTTTAAAACGATTTTGAGAAATGGATTAATGAAATCTAGCATTATCAATTACAATATTAAACCAAATCGATTGTAACCAACTAAGTATTTAAAAAAAATCTATTTTAAATGTCGTACTAAGTAAAGAAATCGCGTCAGATCAAATTGGAACAAACCAGATCTTTTTATTCACTAATATTCCAAAATATAGTACATTGTTTACTTTTTATCAGGCCATTATATGGATTCAGGAAGTTCTGCATTTAGTAACTCGCCAATAGGTACAATGCTTTGTCTGTTTATATATTTATTATTATAATTACGAGAGCAAACATAATAACGATTGTGTTGAAATTGACCTCAGGGGTCACATTTGCACCGCGTCCATTAAATAATAGAAAAAATATTCATTAATCATAAAATAACGGTAAATATATATAGCTGTATGTATGTATATATATATATATATATATATATATATATATTATGGTAGTCCTTAATATGGACATTTTCGAATTTCTTTGTTCCCAAGGGCTCAAATGCGAAGTAATTCAAAAATGTCCATATTAGGTACCACCCTATTGCATAAAGCACTTTTCCTATTTGCTCGTCCCTTACCATATTATTTTAATGTAATTGATAATACAATATTTTCTCTTGGTTTTTTAGTTTACTTGTTGGTAGAGTTCCTTATCTTTCTTTTTTAGTTTTCATGTCAGTAGAGTCCCATCTTTTTTTTTACTATTTTGCTTGTCAGTGGAGGTTTAGTTTGCCCATCATTTGCCCAATTTGCTCAGCAGTACAGTCCTTTCTATTATTTTTTATTTTGTTCGTCAGTAGAGTCCCATTTTTTCTTCTTATAGTTTGCTCGTCAGTAGAGTCTATTTTCCCATTTTTCTAGTTTGGTCTACAGTAGAGTTCTTTCTCGTCAGTAGAGTCCCTTTTCTATTTTTTCTAGCTAGCTCATCAGTAGATAGAGAAGATAGAATTTCTTTTCTTCATCTGCTAGTTTGCAAGTCTTCTCTAATCCTTTTCTATTTTTTCAAGTTTGCTCGTTAGTAGAGTCCCTTTTCTAATTATTCTAGTTTATTAATCTGCGACGTATATTTTTTTGTTTTCATAATAATTCTTTTTCTTACTTTTCTAGTTTGCTTGTTAGTACAGTCGTTAATTTTATTTCTCTATTTTGCTCGTCGGTCGAGTCTTTTTTTTTTACTTTGCTCCTCAGTAAAGTCCATTTTCTAACTTCCCGTAGGGCAAGTTATAGTAATCGCAAAAAATCGAAAATGAAAATTTTTGCATATTTTTACGTTTCATAGGTTTCTGAACATTTTGGCATAAAATGGATGCATGCGTGCGTGTGTGCGTGTGTGTGTGCGTGTGCGGATACAAAGTTTCGTCGACGATTTCGAGAATACGTATCAACCGATTTGAATAATTCAAAAAGCATTCGATTCTTATTAATAAGCAGTCGGGCTGATTAGTTTTTGGCAGAGGCAAGTCTAGCCGTTTCGAAAACAGAGGGAAACAATTCAGTTTTTGAGAGAACGGATCATCCGATTAGACTAATTCAAAATACCTTTTGCTTGTGTAGACGGTGTGCAAAAAATGCTTTTACAAAAAACTTCGCAATTTTGAAAATTTTCATAAAACTCAAATTTTCGAAATTTTTCATCAAAGAAATCTAAATTTCGAATTTTTTTTATAAATATCAAAATTTAAAAAAAATCGGTTTCTTACAAAAATTTAAGAATACTTATAATTTCCTAATTTTTAAAAAATTAATTCAATAAATTTTGAACTTTTAAAAGTTTATCAAAATTTTCAAAAAATGTCAAAATTATCACAAAAATCTTAAAAAAAAATCGAACAAATTTCTTGTAAACATAAAAAGAAGTTGGTTGTAGAACTCACTCGTCGTCTTTTTGCTCCTCAGTAGAGTCCTTATTTAATTAAAAAATCAAGACTCATTTTGTTTCTCGGTAGGATTTTTTTTTAGAGTCCACATCTCTGATCCACAGAGAGCAATGTTGCGAATTCAAAAATCGAGACTTATTTTTATTTTGCTCGTCAGTAGAGTCCGTTTACGTACATAGTAATCATTTTTAATACACCACACAATACTAATGTTACTTCTATTTTATATATCAATGGTTCTGCAACTTGCCAATAGGCCTAAATATTGAGAAACACTGATTTTCGACCCGAAAGAAACATTTTCGATTTTACTCTCAGTTCGTATTAATAAATAGTCGATACACGATCGCCCGCCCGATCGGACGTGTCGCGTTCTCGGAAAACTATCCATAATTTTTCCAAAACGATAAAAATTAAAAAAATTAGTAATAACAAATATTTATAAAGGTTTAAAGTTTATGAAAATCTAAAAACTTAATCAAAAATCGGTTTCGGTTTATTGGAAAAAATGGATTTTATATCGATGTGATAAATTTACTATTCAATGTGTACATTTGTGTTTTAAAGCAAAGTTTTACATATATGTAGTATAAATGAAAAATTGCTAAAATTTATAAAGGTTGAATTTTTATGAAAATCCAAAAATCCAATCAAAAATCGTTTTGGTTTACTGGAAAAAAATTGTTAAACCTTGCTATAGAGAATTCTTTTTTACTATATTGTTCAGTGTGTGGTGCATTTTTTTGAAACGTTTTAATAAATCTTTTAAATTTTGCACATTTTTATAAATTCGTATTTGGGAACAAAATCTATATAAAATTCTCGCAAGTTTTTGTTAATAACAAAATTTCGTAAATATCATAGAAAAACAACTAGAACTTAAATACAACTTTAATAATTAGTACTGGATTTATTGTTTTCCTGGTATAGTTTTTTTTACACTTTTTATTGATAACTTTTTTTTTGATATTTGTCGAAATTTGATTTTACGTGCAAAATGTAGATAAAATATTACAAAATTATAGTTAGTAAACATGTTTTCGTAAATATTACCCGACAGGTAATATTTAATAATTCAGACAAGTCCAAGAATTTGCTAATAAGTTTTTCTTAAGTACAATTTTTTCTTTTTTCTTTTGTTGAACTTGGTGCATTTTTTACAGTTTGTATTTTGGTATTTTGATTTATTTGTTTGTAAATGTGTTTCCACGTGCTTAAACTAGATAAAATTTTACTAAAACGTTATAGGCATATTTTTACTGGAAATTTACTAATAGCCCAAGAATTTGGAAAATCTTTCCGCAAAGCAGATTAAAAGTTTTATATGACTAATATGGTTATATATGATACACTTTTTAATGCTTTTCATTGTAACTTTTGTTTTATATAAATTTAAAAAAAAAGTCTTTACATGCAAAAATTAGATAAAATTCTCTAAAAGTTTTACTAAAACATCATTAATTTATTTGTTACTGCAAATTAACTTCAAGCCCAAGATTTTAGAAAATCTCCGCAAAGTAAAGTAAAAGTTTATATACCTAATATTGTTATATAGAGTGCCCTTCTTAATACTTTTTAGTATAACTTTTTTTCTATACATATTTTTATAAATCTGTTTTCACAGGAAGAAACTAGATAAAATTCTCTAAAACTTTTACTAAAACATCGTTAACAAATTTTGTACCAGAAATTAATTACAAGCCAGAAAATATGGAAACTGCATACAAGTTTACATTCGAAAAAAGTTTTAACCTAAAAAATATCCATCAGTTTAGTAAATGTCATTTTATTTTTAGAAAATTACTAAAATATGTATTTTTTTTTAATTCTTACAACATATATTTGACTATATGTTAACATAATTTTTGAAACATGATTTTTTTGCAAAAATTTAGTCAAGAAACAAACCTTTGGTACAAAATTCTAATAAATAGTGAAGTAAACTTTTAAAATTAGTGGATATCAGTAAAGTGCACTTGTTAATACTTTTTCGTATAACTTTTTTTCTATGCATATTTTTACAAATCTGCCTTTACAGGCAAAAACTAGATAAAATTCTCCAGAAACTTTACTAAAACGTTATTAACATATTTTGTACCAGAAATTAATTACAAGCCAGAAAATATGGAAACTGCATACAAGTTTACATTTAAAGAAAATTTTAGTAAGATACTTTTAGTGAACGTCATTTTATTTTTAGTTAGTTACTAAAACACGTATAAAACTTTTTTTTATTCTCAAAACATATATTTCAATATATATTAAAATACAATAAAATATTTATAACATGATTTTGTTGCAAAAATTTACTCAAGAAACAAAACTTTGGTACAAAATTCTAATAAATAGTGATATAAACTTTTAAAATTAGTGGATATCAGTAATTTAAGTGCACTTGTTAATACTTTTCCGTATAACTTTTTTTCTATACACATTTTTATAAATCGGTCTTTACAAGCAAAAACTAGATAAAATTCTCTAAAAGTTTTACTAAAACGTTATTAAGAAATTTTTTACCACAAATTAATTACAAGCCAGAAAATATGGTAACTGCATACAAGTCAAACAAAGTTTTACCTAAAAATTATCTATTAGATACTTTTAGTGAACGTTATTTAGTTAATTACTAAAATATTAGTAGCTCGTAAATTATTAAAATTTGTATAAAATATAAATATAAATTTTATATATTTCAGTATATGTTAACATAATTTTTAAAACATGATTTTATTATTCTTTAATATTTTTCTAGATTTCTCCATCTTTTTGTTGCAAAAATTTAGTCAAACAACAAACCTTTGGTACAAAATTCTGATAAATAGTGATGTAAACTTTTAAAATTTGTGCATATCAGTAATTTAAGTGTTTTAAAAACCCAAAATTTAATTTAAAATAAAAAAAGTGTCCTTTCCCTAACTATGCCTAAAAATGCAAACGGAACCATTAGTAGGGGTGATCGTGGTAACTTTGCTGACAGCTTTGTATTTTAAATTGACAGATATCGACGAATGCGAATATTCGAATGGAGACTGCGACGGAATTTGCCTGAACACACCTGGAAGTTATTCCTGTGCCTGCAGGTAAGAAAAAACACAATTTTTTAATTAATTTCAATTGTGTATGTGTAGTGTGTATGTGCATTGCGGATACAATTTTTGCGTCGACGATTACGGGCGCACGGATTGATCGATTTGAATGATTCGAACAACATTCGATTTGTATTTGTGGGGAGATGTGGTGATTAGTTTTTGGTGAGGGTAGGTCTAGGCGTTTTGGAGATACGCGGCAAAACGTGCGGGAAGTGGTAGTTCAGTTTTTGGGACAACGGAGCGTCCGATTTGAATGATTCAAAGAATATTTTGTTTGTATTGGTGGTGTGAAGAGTTGTTTACGTTTTTGCAAAGGCAGGTCTGGCGGTTTCGGCGAAATTTTTTTTGTTGGTAGTACAAAATGATTATTATTGATTCACATACATCAAGTGATGGACAATTTTAGTTACTACTATACTATTTATAGTACAAGCTTGTAATTTGGCATAATTATTTTTCAAAATGTCTATTTTAACGACAAATACTAAAACTGATGATTTTTATATTCTAATTCGAGTTATTAATAATTTTATAAACAAACTCCCATAAATTTTGCTTAAGTGCATTAAAAGCAATTTGTTTAGTATTTATTTGATTACTACTATACTATTTATAGTACAGTCTTGTAATTTGGCAAGATTATTTTTCAAAATGTCTATTTTAACAACAAATACTAAAATCGATGATTTTTTTAAACAAAATTTCGGATTAAAAATGGTTTTATCAAAATTTGTACGTCTAATTGCAAATTGCTCTATAATACATAAATGGTAACTAATTTTTTTCTAAGGATTTTTATATCAGTTATTGAACGAGCTCTTCAGGACGCACTGTTTGTACTATAGTCTTGTAATTTCAGTATGTTGTTTCCCAAAGTGTTTACTAAATATAAAAAATACTATACTATATAGTTTAGTAACAAAAAGTTTGAAATATTTGCGACTATTTGCACAAAGTACATAGAAAGCTCTCGGTCTTATTAAACGAGCTCCTCAGGACGCACCGTTTGTACTACAACTCTGCAATTTCAGTATGTTGTTTCTCAAAGTGTTTACTAAATATAAAAAATACTAAAATATACAGTTTTTTAACAAAAAGTATGAAATATTTGCGACTATTTGCACAAAGTACATAGAAAGCTCTCAGTCTTTTTAAACGAGCTTCTCAGGACGAACCGTTTGTACTACAATTTTGTAATTTCAATATGAGGTTTCTCAAAGTGTTTACTAAATGCTAAAAATACTAAACTATATAGCTTTTTAACAAAAAGTATGAAATATTTGCGTCTATCTGCACAAAGTACATTGAAAGCTTTTAGACTTATTGCACGACTGTCCTCAGAACTTTTAATATACTTATACAATATATATATATATATATATATATATATGCGTATATATAAATATAAATTTTCTGATCGATATATAACAATTAATATGTTAATACAGAAAGATTCGGCCTAAAAAATCCATTTCTAATCTAAGAAAGTTTCGAAAGGGCCATTCATCGACTTTAGTGAAATATTGACGTAACAGGCGATAACTTATTACAGATAAATATTTAAATATGTATGTATGTATATATGCAGCTATTCAAGTCTTAACTTTTTATTTATACAGTTCTCCATTATGTATTTATAAAAAAAAAACTTGATAATTCGTATCTAAAGATCATTTGTGCATCCGCTGTCGAAAAAAGTTTTCTAAGAAACCGACATACATTCATTAAGTGTGAAAAATAGTATCGGAATAAAAAAATAGAATTAAATACACGATTTAAAAAAAACTAGTTTTATTAAAGTAAATAAATAAAAAATTGTGAATAATTTGTGATGAATCGTTAGCCCTGAAGAGCTTTTTGAAATTGATTTATCATATACCTGTACTTACAACTCGTGGCTGAAAAATTATTATAATAAAATAAAATTTTAATTAGACAAAAATTATCATTGACAATATGAAGGACATGTTAATATATAAATATGTAAAAATTCGAAATTTTTGCTACGAAAGGTACGTCCTGTAGAGCTCTTAGAAAATGATTTTGTACAATAATCCAAATTTTCTATAATCTCTATGTTTTCGTACAAAAATGCCTATAATTTTAACTGAGTGAATAGAATCTTTTTTTTTTTAAATTTGTGGTCAAAATAGATATACATAAGAATAATGCGTTCAAGTTATAAGTTTGTAGTACAAACGGTACGTCCTGTAGAGCTCCTTGAATCAAACAATTTCTACTCTAATACATCTGCAATATCATGAGATGCAAATTTTGATAATATCTTTTATAAAATAGACATATCTAAGATCAAAATATCAAAATTGTACATTTGTAGTACAAATGGTACGTCCTGTAAGCTCCTTGAATCAGACCAAGTATTTCAATCCTATGTAAATAGGAAACACTAAGCTAAGAGATTTCTGTACTATGTGCAAATACTTGCAAATATTTTATACTTTTTGTTAATTAACTATATAGTTTAGTATTTTTTATATTTAGTAAAAACTTTGAGAAACACTGTACTGAAATTGCAAAGTTGTAGTACAAACGGTACGTCCTGTAGAGCTCCTTGGAACGATCTTAGACTTTCATTATTATTTGCATCTACAATGCACTAAGATGCAAATTTCGATGAAATATTTTTATAATTTTAATTGGGCGTTAAAACTCCATAATATTAGTAATTTACAATAAAATGGGTGTTTCAACGAATATTATACTAAAATTACACATTTGTAGTACAAACGGTACATCCTGTAGAGTTCATTGAATCAGACTAGGACTTTCATTCCTATTTACTTCTACAAAATACACTAATATACACAATTGGATGAAGAAAATTATAATTTCTATTGGGAGTTAAAACTTTATAATTTTAATATTTGACATTAAAATAGATGCTTTAAAGAATATTGTACTAAAATTGCACATTTGTAGTACAAACGGTACGTTCTGTAGAGCTTCTTGAAACGGTCTAAGACTTTCATTCCTATTTACATCTCCAAAATAATTAGGTACAAATTTTGATAAAATCTTTTATAATTTAGTTTGGGCGTTAAATTTTATTATTTGACATTAAAATAAATGCTTCAAAGAATATTTTACTAAAATTACTTATATGTAATACAAACGGTACATCCTGTAGAGCTCTTTGAATAGGACTTTTTTCATTCGAATGAATCATTGAAATTACACCGAGATGCAAATTTTAAAACAATCCGGTGTATTAACAATTGGACGATAAAAATCATCAATTTTAGTATTTGTCAATAAAATAAATATATCTATTAATAATATATTAAAATCACAACTTTTTAGTATCAAAGGTGCGTCTCACACAGTCATTATTATCTATTTAGTTTTTTCAAAGAAATTGCAATTTTTATCAATTTTGGAGTTCCACAAGGGCACATTAACGGTTCTATATTTTTTATTTATTAAACACAAGTCGTAAATATTTTTTCGCTCATAAACTAGGTCTCTACGATTAATTAAAATTAAGTGCGACCTATTAATTTAATTGTGTATGCAATTATAAATACCTCTAACTCTTTTCTAGATACTCAATGCATTTCGTCATAGTTTAAACGTGCAAAACGCTTTCAAATCGTTTTCAAGAATGTTGTTACTTTTTCAAACTGGATTGATCATTTAATATTATATAATAATCATTAACACGTTATGAGAAAGGAAACAGTCGATTATCGATTAAAAAATACATAATGAATCCACCTCGATCGAAAATTATCAAAATTCGCACCTCTATGTAATTTTAATTTTATGACTCATTCGAATGGAAGTAGTCGTATTCAAGAAGCTCTACAGGACGTACCGTTTGTACTACAAACATGCAATTTTAGTATAATATTCTTAGAAGCATCTGTTTTAATGTTAAAAACTAAAATTAAAGAGTTTTAACGCCCAATTGAAATTATAAAAATATTTCATCGGCATCTTAGTGTATTGTACTTGTAAATAAGAATGAAAGACCTAGTCTGTTTCGAGGAGCTCTACAGGACGTTCCATTTGTACTACAAATATGCAATTTTTGTATAAACTTCTTTGAAGCATCTATTTTAATGTCAAATACTAAAATTATAGAGTTTTAATGCTCAATTGCAATTATAAAATATTTTAAACAAATTTGCGTCTCAATGTTTTGTAGATGTAAATAAGATTGAAATATTTAGTCTGATTTAAGGAGCTCTACAGGATGTACCGTTTATACTACAAATGTGTAATTTTAATATAAAATTCTTAGAATCATCTATTCTAATGCCCGATACTAAATTTGTGAAGTTTTAACGCCCATTCGAGATTATAATTTTCTTAAACCAATATTGCATCTTAGTGTATTTTGTAGAAGTAGATATGAATGAAAGTCTTAGGTCGTTTCAAGGAGCTCTACAGGACGTACCGTTCGTACCACAAATATGCAATTTAAGCATAATATTCTTTGGCATCTATTTTAATACCAAATACTAAAATTAAGGAATTTTAACGCCTAATTGAAATTATAAAAGATTTTATCGAAACTTGCATCCTATTGTATTGTAGATGTAAATAGGAATGAAAGACCTAGTCTGATTCAGGGAGCTCTACAGGACGTACCGTTTGTACTACAACTTCGCAATTTCAGTATGTTGCTTCTCAAAGTGTTTACAAGATATAAAAATACTAAACTATATAGTTTTTTTATTAAAAAGTCAAAAATATTTGCTACTATTTGCATATAGTACATAGAAAGCTCTCAGCTCTCATTAGTGTATCGTAGATGTAAATAGGATTGAAAGTCTTAGGCAATTTCAAGGAGCTCTACAGGACGTACCTTTTGCACTACAAATGCACAATTTAGATATTTTGATCTTAGATATGTCTATTTTAATTACAAATGCTAAAATTGATGATTTAGTTTGCCAAATGGTAATTAAAAACGATTTTATCAAACTTTGCATCTCATGATATTGCAGATGTATTAGAGTGCAAATAGTTAGATTCAAGGAGCTCTACAGGACGTACAGTTTGTACTACAAACATGCAACTTGAACAAATTATTTTTAAGTATTCCTACTATCACCTCAAATGCTAAACTCAATCATTTTTTTCACCGGATTGAAATTATAATTATAAGAATTTGTATGTTCAATGTCCTTTACCCCTTTTGCAAAATTCGAAAATTTTCGTGCCTTCTCACAATTTCTGTATGCGTTTTTTTGTTTCCATTTCTGAAAAGCTGCAACATTTGTCAGACAAGGATTATTTATTTAAGTAAGTAGGTTGAAATGACTGAGGGACTATTTTCGTCGCATTTATAGCTGCAGCTAAAACTAACTCTAAATTAGACGTGTCAGAAGATTCTAAATAGAATAGATAGTTTTGAGACACATGGAAACAGAAATATCAATAAATATAAATATCGATAGATATAAATATCTAAACGCCCAATTGTAGTTATAGTAGATATATTAAGGTATTTTATATTAAAATTGCATGTTTGTAGAACAAACGGTACGTCCTGTAGAGCTCCTTGAAACGGTCTAGGACTTTCATTCCTATTTACATCTACAATTCAATAAGATGCAAATTTGCTTAAAATATTTTATAATTACATTTGGGCGTTATAATTTCTTAATTTTCGTTTTTGATATTAAAGTAGATACTGCAAAGAATATTATACAAAAATTGCACATGTGTAGTACAAACGGTACGTCCTGTAGAGCTCCTTGAATTGATCTATGTCTTTCATTCTTATTTACATCTCCAAAATAATCAGGTGCAAATTTTGATAAAATCCTTTATAATTTAAATTGGGTGCTAAAAACCGTATAATTTTAGTATTTGACTTTAAAATAGATGCATCTAAGAATATTATATTAAAATTGTACAGTTGTAGCACAAACGGTACGTTCTGTAGAGCTCCTTGAATTGGTCTATGACTTTCATTCTTATTTACATCTCCAAAATAATCAGGTGCAAATTCTGATAAAATCCTTTATAATTTAAATTGGGTGCGAAAAACCGTATAATTTTTGTATTTGACATTAAAATAGGTGTTTCAACAAATATTATACTAAAATTACACATTTGTAGTACAAACGGTACACCCTGCAGAGCTTCTTGAAACGGTCAAGGACTTTTATTCCTATTTACATCAATCATTTACAGGTGCAAATTTTGATGAAATATTTTATAATGTCAATTTGGTGCTAAATTTTTATTATTTGAGCCTTTGTTATTAAAATAGATATTTTGAAGAATATTATACTAAAATTGCACATTTGTAGTACAAAGGGTACGTCCTGGAGAGCTCCTTGAAACGGTCTAGAACTTTCATTCTTATTTACATCTCCAAAATAATCAGGTGCAGATTTTAATAAAAAAAATTATAATTTTAAATGGACGTTAAAACTTAACAAAATTAATGCTTGATATTAAGCTATATCCCTAAAAGTATATTGTATTAAAATTTCACATTCGTAGTACAAACGGTACGTCCTGTGGAGCTCCTTGAAACGGTCTAGGACTTTTTATTCCTATTTAAAACTATTTCACTATAAAAATACTTTCTTAAATATTAGAATTTTTTGTTTTCCTCCTTCAGTTTTAATTATATTCCAATTATGTAAATTTAACTTTCTAATATGATAATTTAAGATTTATTCTTTATTTTACTATTTTTTTTAACTTTCTATTACTAAATGTTTTATATTATTTTTTTTAATTTTTCCATGTTATTAAAAAAAAATCTACAAATCTATATTTTTAACTAATTGTTTTCTAAAAACTGGGATTCTTAATTTTTATTCTTAAGTCTACAATTATAATACAAAAGAGTAAAAAATTAAAATTTCTACTTTTTTTTGAAAATTTGCGCAAATCTAAATATAAAATATTAATAAAATGTAAATGTTATGATACGGGTCTATCTTCGCATGAGTAAGTAATCATAAACTGTCCAAAAACTATGGATTTAGTGAATTTTAATTTACGTGAATTTTAATTTACCCATTTTGAAAAAAAATTCAGTACAGTAAAAGTAAGATTTACATTTTGTAAGACAAAAAACATTTACATTTATTACCACAGTAGAACCCCGTTAAGACGATCATACTTAATTTTTTTTTATTCTATAGCTACTATTACGCATAAAACGCTTTCTCACTTAAGACGTATTTTACAGCTGGTTTCTGGTAAATCGTCTCAACAAAATCTTACTATATCTGCAATTTTTCGCCCAGCTCTCTATCTATTTGTGGGTTTGACCGCAACAAGAAAATGTACTTTACGACTTCGTATAACCTTTCTATCTTTTTGTTGTTTCTATATTATTTATTATTATATTTATATAAATAAATACATAAATCATAAAAGGTACAGCTTGGAGATATAACCACAAAGATATATAATAATAATATTAATAATTATTATTATTATTAATGCATGAGTAAATAATTTTATAATTCTCGAATCGCCATTAGTCCGGTGCAATGGGATAAGGAAAGAAACGATGTTTGGGTTGTTATTTATTTTAACCGATTTTATTTTAAACTTAAAATTATCATAGTATTTTGTTGGACAGGAATGTTTATCCTAAAAATAAATACAACTGTCAGTTTTTTTTACTTCAAAGGAACTCGGAAAAGGCTGTAAATGCATCAACTATTTTACGACCATGTTGCATCGGTAATAAAAATTAAATATATATATATATATATATATATATATAATATATATCAACCTTACCTGTTCAAACAAATTATTCAATCTGTTACAAAACATCAAAGTAATAAAGTCTTTGAGGTTATGTAAATAAATTTATCTATTTACAAATCACTGACCGCGCTCATTTCGAAACGTATGCAACAAAGTATTATAAATAACAAACAGAATGCAGTTCAACATAAACATTTATGTAAAAAAGACTATTAAATAGTTTTATTTTAAATTTAAATACTGACAGTTGTTTTGATACGTCTAGGGTTAGTGAGAGGGTCGGTACACCCATTGGTAAATGATAAAAAAAACTAGTGGTGTATGGCATCGTGCCTTAAGACTAATTCCCTAAACTTCCCGTACCGTAATGAAATATTCGAGAAATTTAAAACGTTTTCAAATATATTATTACAAATACTGTAACTTTCATTATTTTTGCAATCTTGTTATATCTGAGCAAATCAAATGTAAATCATAAATCAATTATTACATTAACAATCGTCATTTCATTTCGAATTCAATTTCAAAAAAAAATAGTCGCCTAATTTGCACAAAACTGAAAAATGCTCCCGTATAGTCACAGTCTAAACGCATTTGCAAACTAGCTGTAAGTGGAATTCTGTCTTGAGGCAATTATGGCATCGTGCCTTAAGGCAAATTGCTGGAACTTCCCGTACCGTAACGAAATGTTCGAGGAATACTGAATGTTTTCAAATTGATTATTATTAATATTACATTGTCTAATATCTATAAAAATTATATAAACAAAATTGCAAAGTTGAAATTATTTGTAAAGTATATTAGAACTATAGTCAGAATTCAAAATAAAATCTGAAATATTTTCGATATAAAAAAAAAAAAAAAAAAAAAAATCCAAAATCAATTATTTTGTTAAGACAAGCAGATAGTTCTTTGAATCATTTAAATCGGACGCTTAGTTCTCCCAAAAACTGCCATTTTTTACATATTTAGCTCCGTATCTTCGAAATGGCTGGGCCTGCCTTTGCCAAAAAACTAATAAACACTTCTCCCAACCATTACTAATTGAATGTTTTTTAGATCATTCAAATCGGATACTCCGTTCTCTCAAAAATTTGATTTCTATTTTCTGCACTCTTTGCTCCGTATCTCCGAAACGGCTGGACCTGCCTTTGCCAAAAACTAATCAGCTCTTTTCCCTATCTATAGGAATCGAATGTTTTTTGAACCATTCAAATCGGTTGATTCGTTCGCCCGGAAACGTGACTGGAAATTTATCCATACATACATACACACACACACACACACACATCCATCTTTTCTGAAGTATGCCAGAATGTTCAGAAACCTTCAAAACGTCGAGAAATGTTAAAATTTTCAATTCCGATTTTCGGCCCATTACATTAACTTACCCTACGGGAAGTTAGAAAGTTGCTTTGACGTAAATAATACTCTGAAACTCCTTGGCTTATCTTGGATTTTCCAAAATCAAACCCAAATCGTTTGTTTCTGAAATCATGCATTTTTTTTATAATTTTCTCCTTCTTCTTTCAGCACCGGTTATTCGCTTCTCCTAGACGGCAGGACCTGCACAGATGTCGACGAATGTGTGGAAAATCCAAGGATTTGCAATGGTGGGCAATGTACCAACACTTTGGGCAGTTACAGATGTCAGTGCACCAACGGATTGTATCCTGGACAGGACGACACCACCTGCATCGGTAGACATAGTTTAAGATTATATTTTAAGAGACCTTATCCTTATCCGACACCTGCTCCTTTGCCTAAAATACGCCCTTGCGATCCGCGGTAGAGATGAAAGGGTAAGGAAAATTTTGGGATGGATGCGAAGTGATGGAGTAAACTAATTAATTAAATAGTTGTGTATGGCATCGTGCCTTAAGGCAAATTGCCGGAAATTTCCGTGCCGTAATGAAATATACGAGGAATTTTGAAACGTTTTCAAATATATTATTATTTTTGCTATCTTGTTTGTTATATCTGAGCAAATCAAATGTAAATCATAAATCAATTATTACATTAACAATCGTCATTTCATTTCGAATTCAATTTCAAAAAAATTTGAAAGTTGCCTAATTACACAAAATTGAAAAAGTGCTCCCGTATAGCCACAGTTTAAACCAGTGATTCCCAACCTTTTTTGGGCCCCGCCCCACCTTGAGGTTTATAAAAACGTTATGGCCCCCATCCAAATTTTTTTTTCCTTCTGAAAAAAATGTGAATGATGACTTTTAAGATAAAATCGCTATTAAATTGAAATTGATATTAAACATCATAAGTAAAATTTCGGAATAAGCCAACAAACGAAAATTTCAAACTAATTTTATTACTGTTTTTTTGAAATTTATTTAATGCATTACTTAAGCTAGTGATACTTAATGTAATACTAAGCTTAAGATTTTATATTAGGTTTTAATCAAAGTTTTTTCTTTTTTTAATAAATTATAGCAAATTTTTGTACATATGATTACATTTGGGCATTTGGTTTCAGTTTCTTCATAAAGCCATTTCTTAACAAATCTACTTGACATTTTCTTACTCAGAACGGAATTATATTATATCTTAATTTTATATATTTTTTGTTAAATCTTTTTTAGTTATCAGATTGGCAACTAAGTATATAAGTGCGCATATTTTCTAGAAAGTGATAGTTATCGTTGGCAACTAAGTGCGCATTTTTGTTAGAAAATCAAAGACAATTTTTGCGTAGAATTAAATAACTTTGCTATGTATACCATTTTGATCGATGCCCTTTTGTTATTTTCCAAGAAGCATCATTATCCCAAGTTTATAAAACTTCTAGTTTTTATTAACAAAAACTGAATTACACACAATTTGACACCATCATGATTTTTTTTTTAAATTCAATGGTTTAAATCAGATGGTTTGTGGTCAGAAACATTTGGTGGATGTGGAGAAGAATTTCCACCAACCCCCAATAATTTTTTAAACATAGCCAAATTGTTTCTATTAGCCGAATTGATTGTTGCTTAATTAGGTTGTCCAAAACTTTAACTGGACAATCAGAGCAGTATTGAGTGAAAAATCACCAGAATGACATTTTTAAAACCAATTTTAACATAGCTTTGGGATGATTGTTTTAACCTTTGCAGAAACAAAAATGCAAAATTTGACTAAAATGTTTGTTTTGATAATCCTTGTTTCAACAAACACTCTTCATAACCGATCAAAAAAATATTTTCTACTAATCGACAGCTAAATTTCTCACTATACATTTCTACCACAACCTCAACAAACCTAAAGAATCATTTGAAGCAATCTAACAATAAGAGTAAAAGCCGCGCTTAGTGTCAACCTTGTACTATTTAAGGATACAATAAAAATTAGTTTATTTTAAATTAATTCCATCTTTAGCCATAGTTACTGACAGTGAGTAAAAAAACTCACGTCATATTTACAATTTTTCCGCCTTGTATAAAACTCTGTTCTCATAAAGCTTCGCAATTAACTTTAGTATTAAATATAACTTTTCTTGTGCATATTTCAAGTCGAGTCTTGTCACTGACCTTAAAGCATTTATGCCAAGCAATCAGAAACTTGATTTACTTATTTTTTTGGTAATTTTCGTAAATTCGAATATAGAAGTTTAAAATAATTAGTGAAGGGCTGCTGGAACCCCTACGAATTGTTTTGCAAAAGTCTATTGCATATATCATTTTCAGATTATAATGGACAGTTGTAATTTTTATCCAAATCTTTTAGTTCCTGGATTTTTAACTTGCCGTAGAGTAAGTTATAGTAACGGGCCGAAAAACGAAAATGAAAATTTTTGCATTTCTCGACGTTTTGAAGGTTTCTGAACATTTTGGCATATCTCAGAAAAAATTACCCAGGCTAAGCACAGTCTAGGCGCCACTCTGGTACAAATGTTTACCCACGTGCGTTTAAATTTTGTGAAAACTATTGATAAATGTGAAAATGCCGCCAATCTAAACAAAGTATAAGTGAAAATGTCGCACAGAATTATTCGCAAATGCGTTTAGACTGTGACTATACGGTAGCACTTTTTCAATTTTGTGCAAAAATTAGGCAACTATTTTTTTTTTAAATTGAATTCGAAATGAAATGACGATTGTCTGGATGTTCTGTAGATAAATTGATTTATGATTGATGACATTTGATTTGCTCAGATATAACAATAAGATGGTAAAAATAATGAAAGTTACATTATTTGTAATAATATATTTGAAAACGTTTAAAATTTCTAGAATATTTCATTACGGTACGGAAAGTTCTAGCAATTTGCCTTAAGGCACAATGCCATACACCACTAATTTTTTGCTCAATTTGCTAGATTAAAATCCATTTTGTTGGTCAAACGCCAAAAACTGCCTGATGTTGACTTAGTTATTATTAAAATTGATTTTGACATTCTTGAAATTGAAACTTGATCATTTATCCAGCTGTGATATGCAAATCTTACATCTACATCAAAGTGACAATAGGTTGACAATAATTTTCTATTACCTACACCACTTTGGCATCCATCATCACCAAATACCAAATACCAAAAATTCACCAAAGACTACAATTTGGATTCTAGTGATATATTCTTTATCTATCCCAAAATAATCAACTAGTCTTCTTTAAGCTAAAATAATAGCTGCAAATGTAAAAAACAAGTCACAATATTTGCTGCTATTTTGAAAATTCACTGCCAAAATCACATCCATCAGGAAAAATCATCATCAAAATGATTTGAGTTAGACCAGGTTTAATTTTAGTATTAATATTATTAACCAGATACATATTTACTAAATCGGTTCAATTTTTGATGATGATTTCTCTAAATATTTTCTTATCATCCATATCATCATCATATGGGACTAACGTGGTTGTGGTTGGAACTATTTTTATGACTATACTGTACTATACTATATAACTTTACTATTTCTAAGTTATTTTGGTACAGGTTGGCCAATTTTAAGTGATCATCATCATTTTTTTGATGATTTTGTGAACGAAAGAGTTGCCTTGTATCAAATTGTGACGACATCGTTCTATGTATATTTTTTCTAAATGGATGAATACAGACAGACGTGGGGAATTATTTATTTTTAATAATAATATTAATTAGAAGAATAAACTGAGTTAAAAATAGACTCTACTGACGGGAATAAAGAGAATTTTCAATATACTCGTCAGTAGAGTTCTTTTTCTCTTTGTTAAATTTTCAGTTTTTTTCATAAATAAGTGAATTTTATTTTGCTCGTCAGTAGTGTTCTTTATTTTTTTGATTTTAGTAAATTTTCAGTTTGTTCGTCAGTAGAGTTCCTTATTCTCATAAGTAACATTTTATATATTGTTCGCAGTAGAGTTCCTTTCATCGTCAATAAGTGAATTTCGTCAGTAGAGTTCCTTTCTTCGTCAAACAGTAGAGTCCTTTGAGTATTAATTAAGAGATCTTTCAATTTTTTCATTAGTAAAGTTCTATATTTTTTTGTTCAGGTGGCTCGTCAGTCGAGTTCTTTTTTTTTTTGTTAAATTTTAGATTGGTCATTAATAAGCAAATTTTTATATTGCTCGTCAGTAGAGTCTTTTTTTCTCTTATTTAAGAAAAATTTCAGTTTGCTGGTCATTAGAGTTCCTTTCTTCTCACAATCAAGTGATTTTTGGTTTGCTCGTCAGTAGAGTTCTTTTTCTTACAATACAGTGATTTTTGGTTGGCTTGCCAGTAGATTTTCCTTTTTCATAATTCAGTGTATTTTTCTTTTGCTCGTCAGTTGAATTATTTTTATTTCTCTTATTTTATAAAATTGCAGTCTGTTTGTCAGTAGAGTTTTTTTCTCTCACAATTAAGTAAATTTCAGTTTGCTTGCTTCTAAAAAATAAGCAAATTTTTATTTTGCTCATCAGTAGAGTTCTTTTTTCAAAATTGAGTGAATTTTCATATTGCTCGCCAGTACAGTTCTTTTTTGTTTTATTAAATTTTTAGTTTACTTGTCAGTAGAGTTCTTTTCTCTCATAATTAAGTAGATAATATGTAATTGCTTGCCAGTAGAGTTCTTTTTGCTCATTTTAGTAACTTTAAGTTTGCTCATCAATAGTGTTTTTTACATGTTAGTAAATTTTTAATTAGCTCCTCATGAGTTTTTTTATTTTTAAACTTGAGTATGCTCTTTAGCAGTGTTCCTATTTTTTGTTTCAGTTTGCTTGTCAGAAGAGTTCTTTTCTATCTTACTTAAGTAGAGTTAGTTTTTTTGCTTTTTTATTAAGTAATCACTTCGTCGGCAGAGTCTTATTTTTCTTACTCAGTAAAATTTCAGTTTGTCAGTCAATTCCTTTACTTTTGTTTAAGAAACTTTTCTATTACAATGGAATGCAGATTCAGTTGCCACGTCAGTAGAGTTCTTTTTAAGTAAATAGGCTACTCATAATGTACTATATTATAGATGGAATTAGAATTAATTTCGATGCATTTTAACGGAATTTCATCAGAATTACCATAACGGTACCATATCGCCGGCGGTCAGATCCATCTACCATATGTTACCGGATAGCTTTCACCTTCTTATCGTCGAAAAAAACACAGTAGTCATTTATTATGGGATTTAATCTTTTAAAAGACACTATTAGTCATCGAGGTCAATTGTTAGGAAACAGGGCTTCGTAACCTAGAACCAGGTTTGAGGAACGTTTGTCCTGGATTCGAAAAAACCTACTTGAAATAATCGATAGA